TTCACTGGATGGGACGCGATTAAGGGAATGGCAGAAGAATTGGCACTGGTTTCGCAGCGGGACAGCAAGAAGAGGGGTCTAAGAGAAAAACACTCAAAAGGAAAAATCCAGAGGAGGAAGTCTTGGTCACCAGAATCCTGAGATGCCAAGGCTTTCAGCTTGGTGACTACGAAGGTTCAATGTGGCTTATTATGGCCTGGCAAGGTGGCTCATGTCTGTAATCCCAGCACTTTGGGAGGTCAACGCAGGAGGATGGTTTGAGGCCAGGAGTTCAAGACCAGCCTGGGCAACATAGCAAGACTCTGCCTCTACAAACAAATACAATAACTAGCTGGGTGTGGCTACATGTGCCTGTAGTCCCAGCTACTTAGGAGGCTGAGGCAGGAGGATCGCTCGAGCCCAGGAGTTCGAGTTTGCAGCAAGCTATGATTGTGCCACTGCACTCCAGCCTAGGTGAAAGAGATAAGATCCTGTCTCTTAAAAAAATTGTTTTTTGTTTTTTAAGACTGAGCCTTGCTCTGTCACCCAGACTGGAGTGCAGTGGCACGCATCTTGGCTCACTACAACCTCCACCTTCCAGTTCAAGTGATTCTCCTGCCTCAGCCTCCAGAGTAGCTGGGATTACAGGCACATGCCACCACGCCTGGCTAATTTTCGTGTTTTTAGTAGAGACAGGGTTTCACCATGTTGGCCAGGCTGGTCTCGATCTCCTGACCTCCAGTGATCTGCCCACCTCGGTCTCCCAAAATGCTGGGATTGCAGGCGTGAGCCACCGCGCTGGGCCTATCTCCAGTATTAATGGCACTGACGCTTGATTGGTGCTTTATTCGTGCTATCTCTCTCTCTCTCTCTCTACTTCTCTCTCTCTCTCTATATATATATATGTATACACATATATACACATATATACATATAGATATATGTGTGTATATATGTATATCTATACACATACACATACATGTGTGTGTGTATATATATATATATATATACACACAGACATGTATATACACACACATACACACACACACACACACACACACATATATATATAGATAGAGAGGGAAAGAGAGAGAGAGAGAGAGAGAGAGAGTCTCGCTCTGTTACCCAGGCCACAGCACAGTGGCACCATCAGAGCTCATTGCAACTTCGAACTCCTGGGCTCTAGCAATCCTCCTGTCTCAGCCTCCGGAGTAGCTGGGACCACAGGTGCACATCACCATGTCTGGCTAATTTTTTTAATTTTTGGTAGAGACAAGTTTTTACTATGTTGCCCAAACTGGTTCCAAACTCTTGGCTTCAAGAGATCCTCCTGCTTTGGCCTCCCAAAGTATTGGCACTACAGGCCTGAGACAGGCGGCTCACTTGAGGTCAGGAGTTCGAGACCAGCCTGGCCAACATGGTGAAACCCCGTCTCTACTAAAAATACAAAAATTAGCTGGGCATGTGGTGCAGCTACTCGGGAGTCTGAGGCAGGGCAATCGCTTGAACCCGGGAGGCGGAGGCTGCAGTGAGCCGAGATCGTGGGTGACAGAGTGAGACTCGGTCTCAAAAAAAAAAAACTAACAAATTTTGTGAGATCTAGTCCATAGCCTTCTCAGAATCTGCTTTGCTTTTCTGTAAAATAAGTAAACAATCACACCTCCCCTACAGCGTTATGGAGATTAAGCTACGGTGCTTAGTAAACATCGGGTAGTTCAGCGGTTCACACCACATCACCACCAGTACTGGGTAGAGGGTAGCCCTGGAACCCAGGCCAGCCAAGCCAGGGCTCTCTCCTCTCAGCCAGATTTCTCCTCCACCCCAGAAGAGGCCGCCTCCCTGCATCCTCTGAGCACTCAGGAAGCTGAAAGCCACTTGTTCTCTCTCGCTGAGAGTGAAACCGGCTCTCCTAGATGCCTGAGAATGAAGCCTGGAACAAGATGGCTTTCCATTGGCCCAGTGAGCGGTCTGGAGGCGGGACTTACAGTGACATCTTGCTTCTGAGTGGCTTGGACATAAGGAGGGGGGCCGAAGCCTTGGGAAACTTTTAATTTTGATTGGCTGACGGAACTGGCAGTGTGTGGGTATTGGACTAATCCAAGAGTTTCTGTTGGTGGAAGGTGTGGCTTCTGGTGAAAGGGGCGGGATTAACATATGATGGCCTCTCCCTTTGGCAACTTTTCAAGGAAAAGTGATTTTTCCTTGAAACTTGTAGCTTTTTGAAGTGTTTTCCCATCGTGAAGCATATGGCACCTTAACTGCAATCTGCAGTTTGGTGAGATGCCCGGTATGTTAGCACTTTCAGAAATCAGAAAGGAAGGCAAGTCCTATTTTTAAAATGTTGAATGATTTGTCGGTTGCATTTCGGCCTACCTCAGCCTAGAAGTCCTGATTCTCATTCCTTTAACCCTTGGTGTTATTCCTGTTTGGCCCTTTAACCCTTGGTTGGAATTCCTGTATGTGGGATTCCAGGAACATGATCTTCCTTCTCATTACATTGGCACATCCAATGGCATCAGTTTGCCTGGTGATCAAGTTATCACCTAGGAAAGTAAAAAAAAGAGAAAAAAATGGGATAAGATGAGTGAACGATGACTTTCGCGATGGGGGAGTGAGGGTAGAGGGAGCATGAGAGCTGGGCTGCTCCTGGGGAGAGGACTCCAGCAGAACTCAAGAGTCCTTAACACTACTCACTGCATCTCCAAAACAGTTTACAGTTACTAAAGGGCTTTGTCCATCGCTTTCCTGGTTCCTTACAGGGTAGTACTGAAGGTGTTCTGATCTCACTTTATTTACTTATTTTTTATTTTATTTACTTATTATTTGAGATGGAGTCTCGCTTTGCCGCCCAAGCTGGAGTGCAGTGGCATGATCTTGGCTCACTGCAACCTCCGCCTCCTGGGTTCAAGGCATTCTCCTGCCTCAGCCTCCCGAGTAGCTGGGATTACAGGCATGCCCCACCTCACCTAGTTATTTTTATTTTTTTGAGACAGAGTCTTGCTCTGTCGCCCAGGCTAGAGTGCAGTGGTGTGATCTCAGCTCACAGTAACCTCGGCCTCCCGAGTTCAAGAGATTCTCCTGCCTCAGCCTTCCCAGTAGCTGGGATTATAGGCACACACCACTGTCCCCGCCTAATTTTTGTATTTTTAGTAGAATCGTGGTTTCACCATGTTGGCCAGGCTGGTCTTGAACTCTCCTCAGGTGATCCGCCTACCTCAGCCTCCCAAAATGCTAGTATTATAGGCATGAACCACCGCACCCGGCCTTGATCTCACTTCATAGCTGGGATGGAAAACCTTGTAGGAGATAAGAGCCTGGGCCACCAGCTTGTTGGAGCCAGAGGCAGCGCTGCATCCAACCGGGTCCCAGCTGCATACTTCCCTCCTCCTCCCCACCCACCAGGATCAGTGTGGGGTGCAGAGCCACCTGCCCGCAGAGGTCTGCGTGAATGTGCCTGGGTGTGCCCTGTGTGCCTGGAAGTCTTTCTGACTGCTGTCGCCCCGCAGTGTGGACTGAGGAAGCCTTACGCACCCGTGGCACCAGGGTACCGGGGCACCCAAGCATTGGTGAGAAGATGGAGCGGTCTTGGCCTGCTCTGCACTTTTCAGTCTCTCAAATTCTGTCCCTTGGTGTCTCTTTGCCTTTCCGGTGTTCTAGGGTTTCTGAATCTCTCTATCGGTTTCCGTGGTGGAAGGCTCGGAGTCATCTTTCCAGACGCTCTTACTGTGGAGAGAGGAGATTCCATTGAGGGGTGGCTCCTGGAGGAGAGGGACTTCAAGGCAGTAGGGGACAGCCCCCAACAGAGAACAGAGGTGCTGGGCGTGGGGTGGGGAGATAACTAAGCCAGCAACTCCAGCATCACCACCACCAAAACCCGAGACACCCCCATTCCCAGTCCCACACCCCAACCGGGACACGGGGCGGAGTCTTGCCAGCGGGGCTCGAGGCCACCCAGCTGCCCAGGGCGCACCCCGACCCCAGGGCCCGCCAACAGGGCACGAGTCCACTCCGGATCCGTCCCGGGTTTCTCCCGCGTCGCCGGGGTCTCCGCCCCTCCAAGCTGCCGCTGGAGCGTTGCAGCGGGAGCCATGCGCGCCACCCGAACCCCCCGAACCGCTGGGTGCCCCGGCCCGCGTCGCCAACGGATCTGCGGCGTAGCCCCAGCGCCGACCTTCGAAGTTCGAGTCGGGCTCCGACGGCGCGGCCGGGACCCAGCACGTCATCCTCCTTTGATTCTTGGGGGCTCCAAAGAGACCCCTCCCTTGGCACAGGCTGTCTGCGCTGGCCACCTGCCCCGCTTGGCTTCGCAGCATCTCGGCCCTGGCTCCGGCTCCTACGAGGTAGGGGGGCGGCCCGGCCTGGGGACTTGGGAGGGGGCTAGCGTGCTCCACCGCGGAATGGGGCAGCAGAAGGCCACTGCCCCCTAGGGGGACCAAGCGGCTGCGCCCCCTTCTGCCCAGCCCCTTCCAGTCCGGTGACCCAGAAAACTGAGTCAGAGGCTGCGCTTCAGGTGTCCAGAAGCACTCCCCCGCCCCCGTCTGTTGCTTTGTTGCTTCCACCTGTCCCCAGGGTCCCGTGCCCAGAGGAAACTCGGCCAAGCAGACCGCTCACTTTGCAATCTCCCTCTCGTCCAAGCCCTAGCCCCCACACCGGGATAGGGACAGAGGGAAGATCCTCACTCAGGAAAACCCTGCAGGACAGCCCCCCTCCTCCACAACTGTGGACCTCTGGGAGCGTCCCCCCCTTTCGCTGGGCCCTCTTCCTCGGCCCTGCCTCTGCCCACCCCCCAGGCCTTCCCTTCCGTCCCCACTTTATCGCCTCTCCCCTGTCTCGGTTTCCAGGATTGTTCTCTTCCAGCCTTTTTTCTGACTTTCTTTTCCCCTTGACCCCTTCTCCTCCCCGGCTCCCCGCCCCACAAACCCCGGGGCGAAGGGGGTGTGTCACGCTCCTTTCTATTTATGGTGTCCCAGGGGAGGGGGTGCGTGCTAGAATTTTTTGTTGTTGTTGGCATCTGCAGGTCCCGGAATCACGAGGTGTCATATCTGTGATTCGGTGTCGGAGCCTCCTCCGGCCTCCCTGCCCATCCCCTGCGGCCGCATCTCCTGTCTGCTTTTGTCTGCTCGCTGCCTCCATTCCCGTCCTTTTCGCTCTCATCTTCGGGCGCTTTGTGCAGCTGCCTTCTTTGTCTCCGCCTCTCCGGCGACTGGTCTCCCCCTTCCCTCCCTCTCCTCCCTCCCCAGTGTCAAGAAGCCGTCGGCCTCAAGGGCAGCGATATTTCAGGTGTGTGGGGTGCGGTGGGAGTGGGGTGCAAGCGGGTGGGCTCCCAGCATGCCCAGCTGTTACTCCAATCCCCCCCTCCCCAAAGCAATCATTCATATTTATGAGATTTCAAGAAGGTCCCCAAGGATGTGGGGATAGGGATGGAGAGAGAAAGCTGTCCCTCTTTTTATTTTATTTTATTTTATTTTGAGACAGAGTTTCTCTCTTATTGCCCAGACTGGAGTGCAATGGTGCCATCTCTGCTCATTGCAGTCTCCACCTCCAGGATTCAAGCGATTCTCCTGCCTCAGACTCCCAAGTAGCTGGGATTACAGGTGCCTGCCACCACGCCCGGCTAATTGTGTATGTGTGTGTTTTTAGTAGAGAAGAGGTTTCACCACGTTAGTCAGGCTGGTCTTGAACTCCCAATGTCAGGTGATTCACCTGCCTCTGCCTCCCAAAGTGCTGGGATTACAGGCATGAGCCACCCTGCCTGGCCAAGAAATGTTGTTTCTCTTTAGGAAGGGAGCTTGGTCCAGGAGATATCTGGACTACAGCTCCCACAGTGCCCTGGAGGCACCAGCTGCCTCGGTCTTTGCCTAGACAACCAAGGAGCCAGGTTGAAGGGTGCTGGACTGGAGGGTAGGAACTAGTCAGCATGTGAAGCAAGGTTACAGGGCCAGCCCACAGCTTTGGCTTGGCCTGGAATCCCTGACCTGTTTTATTACCTCCTCCAAGGTTTAAGAACTTGGGAACCTTTGTTCATGTCCCCAAAAAGGGAATAGGGCTAGAGGTTGTGCCTAGGTTGAAAGTTGGAAAGCTCTTCCTTTTCCATGACGCTGGGAACTCCCCACATCCACCCCTACCCCTGCCCCTCACCACAAGCAACCTTATCTGAGATGTAGAAATACCATCGGGAAAGGGCCTCCCTTCCTGTAAGCAAGGGAAGGAAACTGGAGCCGAATGTCTTGAGTGAGTGAGGTGGGTTTCAGTCTACTAGTTGTCACACCTCATCACCTTTGTGGGCAGTGAGGGTATTGCTGGAGGCACCACTGAATTTCCCATGAACAGCTGGTCCATGTTGCCTGGAGCTGCAGATGTAGTCAAGAGCTAACTTGCTCTTCTTTGGGACCCATTGTCGCCAGAGTGTAATGCAAGAGGTCTGGGACTGGGCTGGTCCCAGGAATGGAGGTTTGTGTGGTATCAGAGGGATTGCTTACACTGTGGGCCAGACAGTGGGGGAGCTCCCAGCAACCCCATCTCTGCTTCATAAGCTTAGCCCACTTGGACCCTTCAGCTCCTGTTCAAGGACCCAGTAGTGCCTCTCCTTGCTCTTCAGGCTGGGTTCAGAGATCCAGATACACTAAAAAGAGATCTTGGCTGGGCATGGTGACTCACACGTAACAGCCCAGCACTTTAGGAACCGGAGGTGGGAGGATCGCTTGAGCCCAGGAGTTCAAGACCAGCTTGGGTAACATAGTGGGACCCCATCTCTACAAAAAAATTAAACATTTTAAAAATTAGCCAGGTGTGGTGGCACCTGCCTGTAGTCCCAGCAACATGGGAAGCTGAGGGGGGAGGATCGCTTGAGCCCAGGAGGTTGAGGCTGCAGTGAGCTATGATGGTGCCACTGCACTCCAGCCTGAGCGACAAAGCAAGAGCTTGTCTCAAAAGAAAAAAATTAAATAAACAAACAACAACAGCAATAATAAGAGATCTTCCCCCTGGCCTGGAAGCCAAGGAAACTTAACTTTTAGCCTGGCTCTGCCCAAGCCGATTCACCTCACGCAAGGCTCTTAATCTCCTTGATTGTGAAAAGAAGGGGTTGAAATTGATGGTCTCTAATGGACCCATCAGGGGCTCTAAGTCCTCTGAGCTTGGCTTCCTCCTCTCCTCTGATAATGCTGGCTCCATACCCAGGTAATCAATCTCCAGGTGGAATCAGATGAGAAAGAATCAGAAAAGAAAGAGGGAGATGGAACTCTTGTTTCGAAGCTTGGTTTGTATTGCAAGCATACCTCGTTTAGGCAAGCTCTGTTTACGGCTTGGGAGGGCAAACCACTACTCAGTGCCACTGCTGGTCAACTTTCCCCAAACCTAGGTCAGGCTTCTGTCAAAAAAATAAATAAATAAAAGTGCAGCCAAGTCAATATCACCCCCACAGAGTAGCTGGTCTGTGTGCCCTTGGGATGTTGGCTAATAAGGCTTAATGTAGGTTATCTGAGGTGAGCATTATAATTGGTTGAAAGAGAGAGGGGGGATTTGATTGGTTGGTTTGGCTGGTCTGGAAGAGACAGGCCTAGAAATAGAAGTCACTGGGACTTGGATAGGGGGCTTTCCTTTTATTTTGGTGACGCTCTGACAGAGTCCTTTTAAAACGGTTCCTAGTCCCCGATTGGACAGAGCCCAAGTCTCCCCATGGGGAAGAGAGGCAGAAGGAAGGAAAGGAGGGGTTGATTGGCTTAGAAGAAATGGCTTAACATTTTCTTTTCTTTTTTTTTTTTGCTTGAAAACTTTATTAAAATAAGGATTAAACCTGAAAAAAGAGAGATGAGAATGCTAGCCCTTTGCATAAAATCAGCAAGAAAAAGGAAACAGGGAGAGAAAGAGAGGAAAGGAAGGAAGGAAGGAAGGAAGGTGGGGGGGTTTTCTCTTGAGACAGAGTCTCATTCTGTTGCCCAAGCTGGAGTGCAGTGGCTCAACCTCAGCTTGCTGCAACCTCCACCTCCCAGGTTCAAGTGATTCTTGTGCCTCAGCCTCCCTAGTAGCTGGGATTACAGGTGTCCACCACCATGCCGAGCTAATTTTTGTATTTCTGGCAGAGATGGGGTTTCATGAAGCTGGCTAGGCTGGTCTCGATCTCCTGACCTCAGGTGAACTACCCACCTTGGGTGAGCCACTGCGTCGGACTGGCTTGACATTTTCTTTTTTGTTGTTGTTGTTGGTTCTTTCACCAGAGAACAAGGGCTTGACATTTTCTAGTGGAGCTGAGTATCTTGCTTATATTTGAATGTGTGTGTCAAGAGGTGGAGGTGGAGGGACAGGGAACTAGGGCAGCAATATGGAGGAGATTTGGGGTCTACACCCTCCTCCCTTTGCCCTGAGACTGTAGATGGCAGTGGCAGGACATGGAGTGGGGGTAAATCCCCCACTCTTCTCTGGGAACCCTCTTGTGGACAGAGGGGTGATGGCGGAAGTTTCTCATGTTGTCCTTGTAGAGCTCTTAGAGAGGTGATGGGATCCTTGAAGGAGTGTGCCTTTATTTTTTTTTATTTTTTTGAGACAGTCTCGCTCTCTGTCACCCAGGCTGGTGGGCGGTGGTGTGATCATGGCTCACTGCAACCTTTGCCTCTTTGACTCCAACGATCCTCCCACCTCAGCCTCCAGAGTAGCTGAAATTACAGGCCCACCGCACCACCATGCCCAGCTCATTTTTTGTAGAGATAGGGTCTCATTATGTTGTCCAGGCTGTTCTTAAGCTCCAGGACTCAGCCAATCCACCTGCCTTGGCCTCCCAAAGTGCTGGGAGTACAGGCATGAGCCTCCCTGCCCCAGCCTTCCTTTTTTTTTTTTTTTTATTTTTTTTATTTTTTTAACTACCCCCAAGTGCCGTCTTTCTTTTGACTGGGTCCCTGGTTGCTGGCTGGGCCTGGAGGATATCTGGGGCTGTGTTTGGGGAGCTCACAGGGTTCTGAGTTTCTGACTGTTAGGGAGCATCCGGTAGGAGTGGAGTGGGTAGAGCTGGAATTTCTGAAAGCTGGTGGGAGGAGGAAGGGATCTGGGAACGCTTCACACCCAGGGTCTGTGTGGACAGCAGAAAAGAAAGGGTGTTTGTGGGGCAGGTACAGTGACTCACACTTGTAGTTCCAGCACTTTGGGAGGCTTAGGTAGGAGGATCGCTCGAACCCAGGATTTCAAGACCAGTCTGGGTAACATAGTGAGATTCCTATCTGTATTTAAAAATAAGAAGAAAGGAAGAAAGGGGCCAATGTGATGGCTCACGCCTGTAATCCCAGCATTTTGGGAGGCTGAGGTGGGAGGATCACCTGAAGTCAGGAGTTCAAGACCAGCCTGGCCAACATGGTGAAATTCTGTCTCTACTAAAAATACAAAAATTAGCTGGGTATGGTGGCATGTGCCTGTAGTCCCAGTAACTCGGGAGGCTGAGGCAGGAGAATCACTTGAACCCGGGAGGCAGAGGTTGCAGTGAGCCGAGATTGTGCCACTGCACTCCAGCTTGGGCAACAAAAGGAAACTCCCTCTCACAAAAATAAATAAATAAAAGGGGGGGGTTTCTATAGAAAGGGGCATTGGGGCAATTTGTGTGCAGGGGCCCAGATGTGGAAACAAAGGGTTCTGATCCAGGTGCTGTATTTTCTTTTTTCTGCAGGGTCATGAAGCTGGAAGCCAGCTGTGGTACAGCCACCTCAGAGGTCCCCAAGCCGGAAAAGGAGGCTGCCGGAAATGCAGAGCCGAGCTCCGAAACCCGGCCACAGGAGGTGGAGGCCAAGCTCAGGTCCAGATCCGGACCTGAGGCTGAGGCTGAGCCCCTGGGTGCCAAGTCAGGGCCCGAGGCCAAGGCCGAGTTGTCGGGGGCTGAGCCTAGGTCGGGATCAGGGCCTGAGGCTGAGGCCGAGCCATTGGACTTCGTGGTGGCCACGGAACGGGAGTTTGAGGAAGTGATGGCCATCTCGGGCGGCATCTACGGCGGCCTGGACTACCTTCCCAGCCGCTACCACAGCTGGCTCCGGGACCCCGACCGCACAGTGGTGCTGGCCAAGCGCAACGGAGGCGTGGTGAGCCCGGGGGCAGGGCCGAGGTGACATGGGGTGAAGCCACCAGCGGGTGCGTGGATCTTAGGACAAGGAGGGGGAGAGCTTCTTTCCAGCCTTCGTCCGGATGCCGAGGAAGCAGAGTCTGCTTTAGGACCAAAAAGCAAGGCGTGCAGTGTGGATCCAGGGGCTATGTCAGTGAGGGTGGGGTGCAGGACGTGGAGGACTCCGAAAGCAGAGAAAGCAGAGGGACAGGAGAGCGCTTCAAAGTTTGAGGATCCACTGGAGAAGTTCCTGGGGGCAAGAGAGCAAGAAGTGAGGAGCAGGATAGAGGGGGTAGGCTAGGGGTGGGAGCAGCTAGACTGGGACCAGGACCCTCCAGCACAGGGAACCCTTGCCCGAAGAGGACCTGGAAGCCAGGAGCAGAAAGAGCCTAGAGTTGGGCTGGGGGAGGAGCTAAGATGAAGTGGGCGTGGCAAGCTCCCGGGGGAGGAGCCAAGTAAGGGGCTTGGCGAACGGTCCGGGACCTGTTGCACTCGGAGCTGGAGCATCTGGAGAGGTGGAAGGGGCCGGGCGCGGCGGCTGACGCCTGTAACCTTAGCTTTTTGGGAGGCCGAGGCAGGAGGATCACTTGAGCCTCGGAGTTTCAGACCAGCCTAGGCAACTTGTGAGAACCCGTCTCTAAAAAATAAAAATAAATAAAAAGCCGGGAGTGGGGGTGCGTGCCTGCGGTCCTAGCTGGTAGGGGGTCTGGGGGCGGGGGGAATCGCTTGAGCCCAGGAGCTTGAGGCTGCAGTGAGCTGTGATCGCACCACAGCACTCCAGCCTGGGATGACGAGACCCTGCCTTAAATTAAAAAAAAAAAAAAAAAAAAAAGGTGGACGAGACCCCCCGAATGACTGTTCTGCCGGCTCTGGAATCTGAGGCCCAGGTGCCGTGCTGCCCCAGGCCTGGCCTGGTGCCCGGGTGATGTCGACGGAGTGCTCAGCGTGTGGGAAGAGAAGAGCTCAGTGAGCCGACAGCCCTGGCAGGGGCAGCGGCGGGGAGGGTCCCCAGCTAACGGCCTCGGTCCGCAGATCGCGCTGGAGTCGGTGAACGTGATCGACGCCGGGGAGACGGCGCTGGTGGAGGGGCTGCGCGTGGCGCCCTGGGAGCGCGGGAAGGGCGTGGCTGGGCTGCTGCAGCGCTACTGCTCGCAGCTGGTCAAGCAACAGCACCCGGGGGTCAAGGTGGCACGGCTCACCCGGGACGACCAGCTGGGCCCCCGGGAGCTGAAGAAATACCGCCTAATCACCAAGCAGGTGAGAAGGACGGGGAGCTCGGATGGCTGGGCCTCTCTGCTGGGGCACACGGGGAGACCTTCCCCACGCCCAGCGGAGCCCGAGTTTGCTTTCTCTCCAGGCTCTACGGAGTGGTGCGGCCCATGAGCCTTGCCCTGAGACTTCCAGTCCTTACCAGACCCTTTGACTCAGGGGAAGTCAGACTCCTGACTCCCAGCCTGAAACCTTACATCCCAACTTCGGGGACCTTGCCTCCTCTAGGATCCTGCCTCTGTTCAGGGACCCAAGCATCCTCCTCTGAGCTTTTGTCCTCCCTCTGCGCCTCCCTAATCCTACTGACTGATCGGCCTCCCTGGCTGTCACGTCCCTGGAGACCCGGGGACCCGCACCCTCGGTTCCCTGGTTATTCCACACTGATCCCAACTCTCCTTGGGGATCCAGGTATTGGGAGCCCGTGCCCCTGGTCCCTCTCTGGTACCCTTGAAACCCAGGCTTTCCCATACCCCCACTCCGCCCAGAGCCGTCACGGTCGCTCCTCTGGAGCCCGTGGGCGTGAACGTGGAGTGAAGATTCCTGCCGAGAGGCGCCGGGCTTACCAACCCTCCCGCGCCCGCCTCGCGCTCACTCGTGCCCCCCGCAGGCCATCCTTTTGGTCCGATTCAACGCGTCAGCGCTGCTGGCCCGGCTGGGCGCGCGGCTGGCGGAGCTGCGGACCTCCGGCACCTTCTCGCCGCTGCCCACCGAGGCCGTGTCCGAGGCAGGCGGCGACGTGGCACGCCTCCTGTTGTCGCCCTCCGTGCAGCGCGACGTGCTTCCGGGCGGGACCATCATCCAGGACTGGCAGCCCTACCGGCCCAGCGAGAGCAACCTGCGCCTGCTGGCGGCTAAGGGCCTGGAGTGGCGCGTGGACAGCCGCGCGCGCCCGCGCGTGCTCACGCTGTGCACGCGTCCCTTCCCCATCCCGCACGGCGGGGACGGCACTTGGCGCTACCTCAACATCGACGCCTTCGGCAGCGACGGCGCGCAGGTGCAGAGCCAGTTGGTGTGGCACCTGCAGCGCCAGACCCCGCGCCTCGCCGGCCTCAACGTCATGTGCCAGCTCTTCCTGGAGCCCCAGCTGTGGTCACAGCTGGCTGACTTCTGCCAGGCCGGGCTGGGGCTGGAGCTGGTGAAGGGTTATACTGAACAGTACCTGCTGGAGGCCGACATCTGAGGCTCTCCTCTGGCGGGGTGGGGGAAAATGAAGCACTTTGGTCCCGCCCCCTTCCGTAGTTTCCCCAGCCAGCCTCTTCCCTGCCATTTCCTACTCTGCCTCCCTTGGGAAGTCCCCTCTGACTCTCACCCTTACCGGCGCAGGTCCCCCCACTCTGTCCCTTTTCCCCTTACCATCTCGCCTCTAGCGCCCCCAAACACTGTTGCCTATGCCCTGACCTGAACTGCCGGATTTGGGGGCGGGGCGGGCTTGCGCTGCTGTTATCCACTCTCTTCTATTCCAAAGAACTGGTCCCAGCACAGGCTTCGGAGTCCTTCCCTGTCCATCACCCCAGCCCCGGCGTGAACTCTGCCTTTCCTGGCTTCTCCCTTCTGCCCCCTCGTGGGTGGAAGCGCGCAAGAGTGTGTGGGATACCCAGCCTCCTCCCCGAGCGCAGCCGCTCAATCCGGGTTTCTTTTCTTCCTCCTGCCCTTTTTAAAGCCCTCAAAACTGGCACTACACTTCCCTCCCGACCCCTAACTCCCTCCCCCCACTCAAGACTCTGGTATCAGAGATCAGTGCCCTCTCCACACTTCTCTCTAGCCCCCCTTCCTCATCCTGTCTGGATCTCTACGACCCTTAGCACCGCAGTGCTCATTTTCCTGCCCCTCTGTTCCCCTTTCCATCACCAGCCCAGTGTCAATTCAGAGAGAGAAACCCTGTAAAATGAAATGTATTTAGAATGCTCCCCGTTTGGATTCTTGTTCACCTTGGTGATGCACTTTCTGAGTCTGTCTCTCTCACTGGGGTTTCCTCCGGCTTTGCACAACGTTGCTATTTTGCAGGCTCCCCCGTGCCCCAGCTCACCCAGGCGGGGGTGGAGGGGTGGGCGGGGGTTCTGGCTGGAGAGTTTGGTATAGTGGAGGGCAGGTCCCCCAGCCTGGCATAGGGGCTGTCTCCTGGTTCCAACCAGGCTGCCTTCTAGTTCAACTGGAATCCCCACCTCCTGGTATTTCTGGACACCACTCCCTTCCTCTAGATCATTTATGCTTTTAGAACTTTGAGAGTCTTCTATTTAATTGCAAGTAGTAACAGCTGCATCTGCACAGCGCTGTCTCCAATGTTGGATCCCCACATCAAAGGCAGAGGAAGAAAACAGAAGTCTGGGAAAGATCAAAGTGACTTCTAAGTCACTCAAAGTAGCTGGGAGCCTCCCAGCGAATAGAACCCAGGTGTCCCAAGCCTAGAGCATGACCTAGAACTTCACGCTGTCTGATGATGCTCGCTTGAACTTCTTGTTGGGCAATGCCTAGGTGCTAGGAGAATGTTGGCAGTGAGTTTGGGGTTTGCTGGGGATGGGATCTGAGATGTGGGCAGAGGGGGACACCAGCAGGTCGAATGGGGGCCAGCTGCCACTTCACCACTTTCCCCAGCTGTGGTTTTGCTACTGTGATGCTCTGCTTGGCTGCCTCCTGTGCCAGGCAGACATGGCCATGCTGCCACCCTCCTTGTCACAGCAACCACGACTGTATGACAATAAAATGGACCTTCTGGCCATCCTCTGTGTCTGTTTCACTTCTCAGTGGGGAGGGATGAGACACATTACCTTCCCCTTTCCCCAGCAGCCTGTATCAGAGAGGATCTCTAAGCCCTGTGGCAATGGGGCTAATGACTTTGTGGGGAGAGGGAAGAGGTGGGGAGGGGTTCTGGGGTGGGCTGCTGGCCGTGTGCCCCTACCCCACCCTTGCCAATTGAGGAAAGAAACCGCTGCTCAGGACCGAGGTGGGCAGCAGCACCGCCCTCTGACTCGCCCTGGCGTTGTTTTTCCCTGGATCTGGGGATCTGCTGCTCCCCAAATTCTGTGGGTTCTTCTCCCAAGTCCCGCTTGGCATCAAAGACCAGCTTCCATCAGCCAGGATCCAGGCATCTAACTCCCAGTTCCAGAGTCGCCCGTGGCCAGCCTGGCTCGCCTTCCCCATTTCTAGGTGGGCAACCTATGGTGTGGGGAGGAGGTGGAGAGAGCCTGGGCACCGCCCCCCATCCAGCCTGCTCTGGAGCGGCAGAGACTGCGATCCCCCAAAGTAACACGCGGGGGCGCCAGGACGTGCGCGGACGCGGGCGAGGCAGCACAAGGTGGTTTTCGTCCGTGTGAGTGTGTCCGTGGGCGTCTTTGTGTGTCTGCGTTTCTGGACATGTGTGCACGAATCAGGGGGTGTCTGGGTGGGATGGATTCGAGACAACGTGCCTGGTGTACCTCAGAATCAGGTACCTCAAGTGGCTTTTTTTGTTGTTTTCTTTTTTGATGAGAACGATGCTTGATATGTTACTATGTACGTGTGGACTCGGAAGCAGGCGACTTGTGTGTATTGTCGAGTGTGCACAGCGCAGCCTGTGAGTCCCTGCAACCGCGTCTTGGATTTCTGAAGTCGCATTCCTTGAGGGTTTTGGCACCCTTCCCTCCACCTGGTAAAAGGAATGAATGAGAACACTTAGTGAACATCTCCATCGCCCCGGACACATCTCCAGCCTCGGTCTGGGTGACTGCTAGGCGAGGTGTGACATTGTGTTTGTGTAAGTGGGTGTGTCTCCCAATCTCTGTGTGATTCTTTAGGACAGTGTGTTGTGTGTGTGACAGGTGGAAGTTGAAGGAGGCTGGTTCAGGATTACAGAAGTGGTTTTCTTTTTCTTGGTGGATACCACCTTCATGGTGTGTGTCTGTGTATGTATTTGAGTGTGTGAGTGTGTGTTAGTCTCTCCAGTGGCTCTCTCTTCGTGTCTCTCCCCTTCTCTGTCTCTTTCTCTCTCTCTTTCTTGGTGACTCATCTCTGCGGCTTTGCCCTCCCCCGCTTGCTGGGTCTCCCCTCCCCCACTCAGGAGTGGGTGGGGGTCTGAGGGCGAGTGGGACCTCGGGACTAAAAATCAGGGTGAGCACCCCCTTCCCATCACTCATCATTCCAGACTCTCCAGTAGCCCCCTAGCCATCCCCTCAGTCCCTTCCCCAGGACTCCCCAGCCCTGGGATGGGGAGGGGATAGGGCAAGAGTGTGTTCTAAATGGGGCAATTTTCAGGGGGCCTTTAACATCTTCTGTGAATTCAAAGTGAAGACCCCTTCCCCTCTCATAAAGTGCCCCCTCCCTGCCTGCCCCCCCACCATGGCTGACGCAGTTAAAGGCTGCAGAGGTGAGTCACCGGTTGGGGGGAGGGGGAGGAGAAGAGGGGAACTGTAAGCTTCGGGGTCCACAAGCCCCTGCTCTCTCTTTCTCTCCCAGACCTTCTCAGGGAAAAGACCCAGTTCTCTTCCCCGATCCCCTGGTTTTCCAAATCTTGAGTTTAGATTCCTACGATGCTGGACCCTATCTTCTCCAGCTACCCTCTTGGAGGGAGATTCAGGAACAAACACAAAGAGAGATGATGGATTCACACAAACAAGTCAGAGCCAATACCAGGCATCCCCAACCAGGTCCCCATCTCAGCTCTGCCTTTTCCAGCACTCTGTCTCTCCCACTTTCTTCAGTTCTCTTTCTTTTTCTCACTGTCTCTCTCCTTTCCCCATCCCAGGAACCTGTGCACAGTCCAGAAGCCCCTAAAGGCAGCAGGGTATGAAGGGCACAGCTCACCCCCAGTAGAGCGGGGAGTGTGTGATCGAGCTGACCCAGGTAGGGAACTAGGATGGAGAGAAGCAGAAACAGAATGAGTCCAGAGACCATGCAGACATAAGGAATCAAGACCCAGATTGTGGAATCTCCAAGCCTTTGGTGCCCCAGGCATTCACCTCCACCCTGCTCCCTCACCACAGGATGCTGGAACCCTGGGGATGCTGATTTCTGAGAAGCTCTTCCTGGGCTTCTGAGCTTAAGTGGAGGAAGGGAGGGATGGGGAGTGGGGGCATGTATATGCTTACACACACATTATTGTGTACCACCAAGCCAGGCACAGTTTTTGGACACCAGCAGATGCCCAAAACTTGGTGTGTTCAAAGACCCCAAACTGCATGGGCATACAGGCATGAAGAAGAGATAAGAACCCCCCCCCAACACACACATGCTTGCGCGCATACACATACAGCTGGAAGCAAACACAAACACAGCCACACAGAATGGAAGAGAACATCACACAGTTAAATTGGAAACACTACCATACCCATCCACTGTTGATCTGATTAAATACACAATTGCTTCCCCCATTCCCTTTCTTTCCCCCCCATCATGTATCTAATTCATCTCTGCACACATGTAAACATACGTGCACAGGCCATGTACATGCACACCCAGGTGTGTGTGCACACACACAAGCCCACAGGCGAATATAGTTTCTCTAGGTGCCTGTCTCTCATCTTGCAACTTGGTCTGTAATCCCCATCAGCACTCAGTCAGCCCCCTTGGCTCCCTCCCTCCCCTCTCCCTTCTCTCTTGGATGGCTTCCCCTCCCCCTCTCCAGATGTCTGAGCCATCTCTCTCTGATTCATCCTCCTCAGGAAGGTAACGTGACCCCTTCCTCATCCCACTGCTCTCTGTATCCAGGCTGGGAAGATGAAGGGGTGATGGGGGGAGAGGAAAGGAAGGAGAGGAAGCTGTGGCTAGTTGTGTGTGGGGATGGGAGGCACTGCCTCAGGGTCTCCTAACCCCTCTTTCCCTCCTTTCTTTGGAATCTCCACTGTCACCTTGGTTCTCAGTGTTTTTTTTTTTTTCTCCTCTCTCTCTCTCCTTTAGCCTGCTCCTTCTACCTGTTCCAGATCCTTTCCTTCCTTCCTCCTCCCCTGCGCCCATCTCTTCTCTCTTTCCTCCCTCTCCACTCCTCCCCATTTATTTCCCCGCAGAGCTGATGGGCTTTCTTCTGGGAAAGTCGAGCCACTGATGGAAGCGAGAAGCCACTGCTGGTTATAGAGAGAAAGCACGTGAGTGTGTGTGTAGGGAGGGGGGGGTTGGAAGGGGGGTCAGTTCTAGGAAGAGGTGAGGAGGGGGGTGAGGACTGTTTCTGAAAGAGTCTCTGAGCCCCTGGCAGACAGCCCTGACCTCGGTTTTCAGAGTCTTAGGGTGCGGGTGCCCTGCGTGTGCCCACGAGCATCTCTGTGTCCGCAGTTCGTGTGTGTCTGGCGTGTGTCATTGTCGTTCCCCCCTTCCCTGTCCACGCCCCCGCACCGCTCTCTGCCAGCACCGCAGCCCCCTCCAGCCTTCCTCCCTCCCTCCCCTTCATTCCTGCAGTGGCTGCCCCCCTTGCCACCCTCTCCTCTCCCCTGCCCCCTCCCCATTTCCGTCCTCTTCCCCCACCCCCGCCCACGGCTGGTCTCCCTTCACCGGACCCGGCTCGCTGATGGATTCTCTTTGCGCAAATCTGTGCGTCATCGCCCCCCACCCCCGGAACCTCTAGCTGTCCAAGCCCCCAGCCCCAACCTCTCTGGCAGGAGATACGGTCGAAGGGTCTGGTGGCAGAAAGGGGGTATCTGTGACGTTGCATGCCCCCCTCCCATCGCGTTCAAACCTTCCCTTTAAGCGGTGGAGAGAGCTGGAGTTGAGTCACCCCCCCACCTGCGCAACCCCCTCCCCACCTGGTCTGGTCTCGCCCTCCAAACGTCCTTGGGGGAGGAAAGTGGCTGGAGGGAAAGCGGCTGGGGGAGAATGGGAAGAGATGGGCCGAAGGGGGCACAGCGGGGGGCCTTGACACACGCGGCAGTCCGGGGACAGAAGGACAGACACCTTTTTCTCCAGACACAGCACGGGTCGAGAAACAGACACGACCCAGAGGCACACACATCCTCATTCCTTCCCCCTTCTCTTCCGACTCCGACCCTTTCCGATGGGATTACCAAAACCGCAAGATCCACCCATCTGCCCCTGCCAGTGGGCTGCCACCCCGCACCGCCGATCCGTGGACAGCGCCCGCAGGCGCGCAGATATGTCCCCCCGTGCTCAGTTTCATGCCGTCCTTGGGCATGTGGTCTCGGGGTGGCGAGCCCGGCCCCCTCCTCGGCTGTCGAATCTTTATCCTTCCCCTCCCCAGTATTTATCTCCCACTGGTGCCCAGTCAGACGCTGGGGCTGCCCTTTTCCAAGTCCACTCGGCAACGGCGGACTCCATCCAGCAGCTCCAAGTTGCTCTGCAACCCACCCTCCCGCCTTCCAGCGCCTCTGCATCCACCCTTCCATTCATTCTCCCATTCATTCATTCATCCTTTTCTCCTCGTCCCTCCTTCATTCATTCATAGCCCCCCGCCCCGCCCGCTTCAGCATTTCATTCATTCATTCATTCATTCATTTCCCGGAGCTCCGCTAGCGCACACCCCTCCAGCCGAAGGCCCCAGCGCGCAGGCGCAGGCCGGGAGAGGCAGGCACCCTCCAATCGTAGAGCGTCCTCCCTCCTCCAGGCGCCCGCCCGCTTCCCCATGAATGAACATTGACGTCAATGGGGCGGGGCGCGCCCACGTGACCCCGCGCGCTCCCCTTTATAAAGCGGTGGAGGCGCGGGCGCTGTCCAGCGTGCTGAAGCCGGAGCGAGCGAGCCGCCCGGAGCCGCGCCGACCCAGCTGAGCCCAGCCCAGGGGACGCCAGACCTCGACCGTCG